GTGGAGGCAGGAGCAGGCACGGACTCAAAAAAGCAGGAGAGCACTTCCCAGAGGATGAGGGTCATCGGAGGGAGAGCTGCCAATGGTTCCTCCTTGGGAAGAATCCCTGAGCTGTGGCTGCCTGGAACCTGCAGGATTTTCCCAGGGATGAACATCCCTGTGGGAAGAGGGGGGCAGGGGTTCTGTTTGTCCCGCAGATGTGGAGCTGGCACAGGTATCCCCCACCAGGAATATCACAGCGAGCACTGGAGAGCCCTAAAAATGCATTTTTTTTTAGTACAAAGCCACAATTTCTCAGCTGAGAAAATAGACAGCTCTGCCCCAAAACCCATTCCAGCACAGTGGCAGCAGTTGGAAGTAGGAAATCAATAAATACTGGGGGTAAAAGGAGGGAGTTACAGCAATTAGGAGAAATTAGTCGTTCTGGAGTATAGAAAATTAACAAGCAAAGCCAAAGACATTGGGGGAAAATCAATTATTACAAAGTCAACACAATAAGTACTTTAAAAAATGCGCTGGGAAGAAGTGGAATTCAGGAACTGTCAACTCCAAGTGGAGATTGCAAAATTGTTAATTATGGAGAAAAATGCCAAAGTATTGACTAAATAGTTGGAGTAATTTGGGCTGAGACATAACAACGTAGGATGTGGGACCTGCCCATGTGTTGGGAACCTGCAAAGGCATTCAAAATAGAGATATTTGACATAATTGAATGGAATAATTTGTCCCAAAGAGTGGGATCTCTCTGCTCCAGAGGTGTCCGTGGAGCTGGGGAGCCCAGGATGGGCAGGTCTGGGAGGGCAGTGATGCCATGAGCAGCTGGAAGAGCTGGGGCTGTGCAATGCTCACTGTCCTCGGCAGCCCCAGGGAACAACTGGATTAATGGCTAAAGCAGGGAATGGCTGATGGAAATAGCACTGACGTCAGTCACTGTGGTTGATGGCAGGGGACACTGGGCACTGGCATTACGTGACAGGTCCAGCTTTTAAACCTTTCCTTAGGCATGGTCCTGGCCTCTGTGAGGAACAAGGGCTGCTTCAGGCGTTCCTGTGGGGCTGGAGAGGCAGATCTGGTTTGTGTTGGGTACACAGCAGCTGGAGACTGATGGATGCACCCAGCTGATAAATGAGGATTTTGTCATTATCCTTGTTATTATCTTTCTTATTTTGCATGCACTGCTCTGAGGCTGGACAGCAGCAGGAATTTCTCCATGGAAAAGGTGGTCAGGCATTGGGAGGAGCTGCCCAGGGAGGTTTGGAGTGCCCATCCCTGGAGGCGTTCAAGGAACACCTGGAGGTGGCACTGAGTGCTCCAGGCTGGGGATCGGGCACAGCTGGGGCTTGATGACCTTGGAGGGCTTTTCCAACCTGGCATTCTGGGATTCTCAGCATGGCATTGTGAGGCAGATCTGGTCTATCCAGGGCTTAGAGAAAGGAAGCTTGGCTGGAATTCCTCGTGGAGTGAGGTTCTCCTGGAGCTGCTCCTCGGCAGCGGCGCTGTGCCCGCTGCCGTTCACCGCCGTAATCAATGGTCTGGAAGGCAATCTAAAATCACTGCTGATAAACCCATGGCTGCCACGGAGATTGGTGGAGCGGGAGATGGTGCTGAGGATGGAGCAGTCATGCAGAGCAATCCCGATTGCTTGGTAAACTGGGCCCATTTAAACAAAGTGCATTTTAATGCAGCCCGGCGCGAAGCTGTGTGGAGGAATGGGGAATGCTGGCCAATATCCTGGGAAGCGCCGACCCGAAAATGGATTCAAGGGTCACGCTGCATGAGTAGCACGAGGTTAAGAAGCTGGCACGGACCTCAGGTGGAAAAACTCATGAGGTTGGAGGGGCAGGAAGGCACTGGAAGAAGCCCTGTGAGATGGCACCTGCAAAGGTCTCCTCTGATGAGGAACAGGGAAAAACTGGGGCAAGAAAAGATGAGGCCCCCAAACAGATTTGCTCTTTGCAGGTTGTGACTCGGACCTGCTGTGTCTGACTCCTCAAACAGAAGGCTCCAGCGTGCCTCCATTGCCCTGCACAAGCAGCTCCTTGTGCAGAGGCCGCTGCCTGCTCAAAGGCTCTTTAACCTCCTGCAGAAAGGTCACACCAAACCCAATTTCTGCCAGTCAGGGCCAGACAAATTGATTCCGTGCCTTTCCATGATTCCAGAGCGGGGCTGTGCGGGTGGAGAGCTTCCCAGGGCAGCCGCTGGTGGGGCTGGGCACAGAGGGAGGGGGGCACTCCCCGTGCCCTGTGGGGCTGCAAGGGACAGGGCTTGGGAGCCCTGCAGTGTGAGGAGCCCTTTCGAGGGCTGCCTGGCAGGAGGTGACATTTAAAGGAGGTGTTTTTCAGGTAAAATCGCTGCTGTTCGGGGGTGGGGGGGATGGTGGCTGTCACAAGCTGGCTTTGGGAGGTTGTTTATTCGTGTTATCACAGCACCCCGAGGAGCCTGGCTCGTCTGGCTGGGCTGGTGCGAGCACGGAGGGAAAGCAGGAGCCCGGAGCTCGGGATGGGCTGTGGCAAGGCAGGAAACTGGATTCGGCTGGGTGGGCAGGGTGCAGGGGGAGTGCCAGGCTCTACACAGTCCCTGCGGGCTGGCAGGAGGCTCCAGAGGGTCGTTGGCACCTGGGCAGCGCTGCCTTGTGCTCAGCTCCTCCAGAGCCCTCCCGAGAGGGGCTCACCTGTGCCTTAATGACAGGGCTTGCACCCTCTGCTCTGGCAACCCACTGGCACAGGGTGCCTGTGCCCCATCCTGGAAATGGCCAAGGCCAGGCTGGACAGGGCTTGGTGCCACCTGGGGTAGTGGAAGGTGCCTGCCCATGGTTGAGATGAGCTTTAGGGCCCTTCCAGATCAAACCCTGCCATGATGCTGTGATTGCACTTGGCCAGAGCTGCCACTGTGGGTTTTTTGCCATAGAGATTAACCCGCTCTTCCCTGCTGCAGGTAGAGGTTCACTCCTTCTTATCTGCCAGTGCTCCCAAGCAGAGGCTTTTTCTTTCCAGCCTTTGCCACGCTTAACCTTCTCTTCCCTTAACCAATTTATCTCTCTCTTTTTTTTTTAATATTTTGTCATGGTTTCCAACAACTGCTTGTCTGTTCTTCTCTGCTGAAGTGGGACACCTCTCCTCAAAACTGGTGTCCAGCTCAGCCTCATAGCACAGAGCTGGCACATCCCAGCCTGTCCACACATCCCAATATAGATGCATTTTTGGGTGGGAGGTTGGCACCATGGGCAGATCCCCAGCCTGTGATGTGCAGTGATCCTCAGCCAGCTGTGATTACTCCTCCCCAGGGTGCAGATGTGACAGATCCATCCCACATCTGTCATGCCAGCAGTTAATGAAAACACAGCCCAGCAATGGACTTGGGACACAACTTGGAGCTTTAGTTTGATCCATGATCCCAGCTGAAAAGGCCACCTGCAGTAATTCCTTTGGGAATAACACTTTCTAAATGATTTGCACCCACATTACCCAGGCAGGGATGTACCGTGCTGCATCTCCGCTGTTTGCTTGCATTACTTATGAGAAAATCAGCTAAAACAGTGTCAAAAAAAAAACTTCTTCAAGTCGAGCTAGAACATTTACTGCTCCTCCTTCCTCCACGAGGCCTGCTGTCTTTTCAAAGGAAGGAGTTCAATGGCTTGACATGTTTGTTTGTGACAAACCTACAGTGGCTGTTACTCATTTCCTTGTTATCTTGTAGGTACTTACAAAGAGTTCTTTTATCTGCTTCAGTATTTTTCCAGGAACTGAAATTAAGCTAACTGTTTTATAATTCTCCAGCTCTTCTTTTTTCTCATCATTAAAGACAGGTGCTATTTTAGCTCGCTTCCAGTCTTCTGGAAGCTCCCTGATTCTCTACAAATTCCTCAGGAAAAAAGAAAAAAAAGAGTCGTGGGGAAGAAAAAAAAAGCAAAAAAAAAAGCAGACCTAACAGCTCTGAAGTTACTTAAATCAGGTCTCTAAGCATCTGTGGTGAATTTAATCAGGTCCAACCAACCTTAAAGCAGCTCATCTAAATGCTCCCTCTGTGTTCCTTCCCTCTGTTCGTCTCAATTCCTTCCCCTTCCTGGCCGGTGCTCGCTGTGTGTGGGACGCCTGATTGCCACTGATTTGTAGTAAAGACACCAGCACAAAAAAAGGTATTCAGCCTAAGCGATGTGTTGGCTCCTCTCTCGCCTCATCACCTTCAGATCCCCATCAAATAATTCCCGTCTTGGCCTTCTGCCCGCGTTTCTGGTGGAGAAATATTGTGGTGGCTTTTTCTTGCTCTCAGTGGTTTTGTTTCATTCCCCGCTCTTGCCCCTTGAACTCGTGCTACCCTCTCCACTCCTTGGTAATCACGCCAAAGAAGGATTTGGTGGAAGGATTTGGAGTGGGATAATGATTGTGGCTTAATGGCTGCTGGCAGGGAGCTGCTCCCGAGCATGAGGCAGAGCTGGGGAGGGAAAGTGTGAGGTGGGGGTCTTTGAAACGCTTAACGAGCACACAAAAGCGGCGCTGGTGGTGACCCTGGGTGGAGAATCCTGAGGATGGGAGCTGGGGTCAGGCCAGGGGCTGGCAGGAGAGGGAGGATGTCTCTGTGGCTCTGTGCTGGCCAGCAATGCCATCAGAGGGGCTTCGGAATTTTTGGAGCCACACGAGGCTCTGGGGTTGTGTCGGGAACCTGCCGAGCGGGGACCCCCCATTCAAGGGTGGAGACAATGATTCAGGAGGCTGTGATGATGGGGGGAGCTTTCCAGAGCTGTCCTGCCATGGGAGGACATCTGGGTGACAGAAGAGGCTGGGACAGAGCCATGAGGGAGCGATGGGCTGGGGGAGCACAGGGACTGTGCAAAGTGTGCTCCCTACATGTGCTGGGGAGCTCTTGGCTGGGATGGAGCCTGGCGTTGAGTCTCTCAGGATGGCTCTGGGGGCTGAGGATGGGGTCAGGATGGATGGCCCCACCCTTTGCCTTCACCTTCACCTGCAGGATGGGTGATGCAACAGCTTCTCTCTTGTCTGCAGTTACCTCATCGCCGAGTGACGTTCTCTGCAGCCAGCCAGGCTCAGGACCTGCAGGACCCCTCCCAGCACAGCTACTACGACAGCGGGCTGGAGGAATCTGAGACCCCCAGCAGCAAATCTTCGTCGGGGCCCCGCATCGGGCCCCTGGCCCTGCCCGAGGACCACTACGAGCGCACCACGCCTGATGGCAGCATCGGGGAGATGGAGCACCCTGAGAACGGTACGTGCCCGCCCCTTGCGCCTGTCCCCTCCCCTGGGACCTGTCCCCAAGGCTCCTGGTCCTCCATGACCCATGTCCCCGGTGTGGGTGATGTGGAGCTCGGCTGGGACCCGCTGGGCTCGCTGGGGATGGGAGGATGGAGAAGAGGTGAAGCTCAGTGCAAGAGACAGCAAGGAGTGGTGAGGGGGAGAGGTGGGTGAGGGAGGGGTGTCTGGGCGAGCTGTGGGATGTGAGGAGTCAAGGAGACAGGTGGGTGTGGCAGAAGATGGGTATGGCAGGAGATGGGTGTAGCAGGAAGCAGGTGGGTGTGCCGATGGGTGTGGCAGGAAGCAGGTGGGTGTGGCAGGAAGCAGGTGGGTGTGGCAGAGGACAGGTGGGTTTGGAACGACGCAGAGCGAGGGCCAGAGAGGGAGGTCCAAGATGGAAGCACAGGGGCTAGAGGGGCTGTATCCCAGCCCATGGGGAGCTTGTATGCTGCAGTCAGGGGTCCCGTGGGGGGACCCTCATGGGGGTTGGGGTGCGCTGGAGCTCCTCACATGTGTTTGGGGTCGGAGCTTTGGGAGGTTCCAGGGCGCAGAGGGCAGAGCAGGTTTAGTGGCACAGTCTGGGCTGAGGAGATCCACGGAGTGGAGGCTCATCGAGTGTGGTGATGGTGGTGGCAAACCCCAGAGCGATGTGTCCCTTCACCGTGCCCCTCAGGTCACCTCCCGGCAGGGTCCAACTTTCCCTGAGAACCCCTGGAGGTGTCTGTGGTGTCATCACCGGAGAGCTGCTTCCCCCTACCCCAATGCAGCTTCACCCACGGTCATGCTGCTCGTGCTGCCTCTGTGCTGCCCCGCCTGGCTGCAGCCCACCCCCCCAGCTGTCTTCTCCAGCCAGCTCCCGTTGCTTCCTTGGATTTGGCTCTGGCTGTGTGCATAACATCTTCTCTCCTGTACCTGCTACCTTCTGTGCTCGTGTCCCCTGGGGAGGTGGCTGTGGAGGTGGCAGGGTCAAAGAATCTCCTGGGAGGGAAGAGGAGGAGGTGGCAGAGGGTTCTCCTGAAGTCTCCTCCTGTTTCTGGGAGCAGCCTTGACTTTGGGACAGGTGTGTGTGTAGTGAGAAGATGGCTGAGCGGTGTTCAGACGGTTTTTAGGGAGCTGTAAATCTGCTGGGTTTGTCTGTTGTGGAAATGGACAGGTCTAGTGGAACATCTCCTCTCAATTCCCAGGTTATTCCTGGAGTAGTACTGGAGTTCTCTGTGTTACAGCCATTGGAGCAAGGCATGGTGGGCTTCCCAAATCCACCTGTTGCACCTCCTGTCCACGAGTGTTGTGCAGATCACTTTCTCCCCAAAGTGCCAGTCAGTCACCCAGGACGAGCAGTTTGGAGCAGTTCCTGAGCCCTGGGCACAGGGTAACAGTACTGGGCTTCCCTGAGTTCGTGGAAGAGAGGCTGGAAAGGTGGGAAGCAGTGGATGAGCTGATGGATACCGCGAGCTAGTGGGGCTGATGGACCTGGAAGACAAAAGGTTGAGCCTTGGAATGTGACAGGAAACTCAGAGATGATGAGGGAGAAGCAGGGCTAAAAGTAGAAAGAGGGGAGAGAGAGGAGCACCTGGAAGGTGCAGGGCAGGGAGGGTTGTCTTGGGATATTCCTTGGAATGTTCACTGTGTGCCTGACAGGGATGAGCAGAGCTGAGGAAGGCCAAGGGACATTGCCTGGAGCCCCCAGAAATGGCTCCCTGCCCAGAGCATCACAAACCTGCCCTATAAACCAGCTCCCTGTCTTGGCACAAGGTGCCCTGTGTGTGTTCACCTCCCAGCAGAGCAAGAATCACCCCACGCCCATCCACCACCAGATCCATGTGTGGTACAGACACTGCAGAGGCTCCCAGGGAATGACCACAACCCTGCTCCGCTCTCCATCCCCCAGAATGTCCTGTCTTGGCTCCCTTCCCATGACAGTGGTTGGGAATCGAGCTCCAGCCGCTCCAGCATCTGTCCTGACCTGTATTGGGTGCAGGGGCCGTGGCAGGTCAAGGCTCTCGGGAATCCACCAGCGTTATCCTGAGCTGGTCCTGCTGCTCTGCAGATAATCTGGCACAGCAGTTCAGAGGGGACCTCAGGAGCTGGGGCCAGGGTCGTGATCCTCTGAGCAGACTGTGAGGGGACCCTGGCGCTAGGACGGGTGATCTGGGGATTAGGAGGCACTGGGGCTGTTTGACCAGCTCACCAGAGCTGTGTTTGCTCCGTCCCCTGCCCGAGGTGTGGCACATCCACATCTGTGCTTCCAACCAGACCTTGTTTGTCCAGAGAAGGATGGTGACTTGTTTCCTGCAAGGACTCTCCAGTGATGTGGGACCATCATGATCTTTTGGGGACTGTCCCACCGTGTCCTTGCCTTGGCTTCATCAGCAGCATCAGTCCCTCAGAGAGATCAGATCTTGGGTTTTTGGGAAGCTGGGCAGACTAAGCTGTTCTTGACCTTCTGGTAAACTGCGGAGACGTGCTGGATCCCACACCCCCATCCCGCGGCACAAGCGCGAGGCTGACACGACTGTGCGTTTTCTCAGCTTTCATCTGGTTATAAATATCCAACATAACAGGGCTTCCATTGCTTTCTCCAGGAGATTATCCCTGCAGCCGAACCAATCTGATAAGCAAGTATGCAAGGCTATTTATAGCTTTTCAACTGGAAGACAGATCCATGCCTTTTCTTTGTAGATGGTTCTTCACTTGATTAACACACATCTCAGTGTCCTCCTTTTTTGGACCCTTTCTGCTGTGCAGACTGCAGTAAAATGCTGTATTGCAGGGGCTGAGCCAGGCCCTTTGCAGGAGGAATCACGCTGGTTCTGGTGAAGACTTCTCCAGGAGCTTGGCACTGACGTGGCAGCTCCTCAGTCATCCCAGGCGTTTTTCATCCCTGCTCTCTTCCCTCACTGCCCACTGTTTCCTTCCCAACATTTCCCTGTGCTGTTCCCCACCTTGGTGGGGCTTGCTGAGCTGGGAACGAAGCTCAGTCTCCCACTTGGCCACCCGGTGCTTTTCCCAAAGACATCTGCTCCCTCCACGGATCCCAGATTTGCTTTGGTTGGAAGGAGCCTGGGAATGCTGGTGCTCCGTGGAGGCTCTGCCCTGCCATAATGCATGCAGGGCTTGGATGGGGACAATGCCAGTCACTCTCCATCAGCCATTGAGGGAGTTTAACAGGATTTCGGGACCAAATATGTACGGTTTAGGAATTGTTACACGGAGCCTGTTTTCCCTCTGTCCCTGTGTGGTGCAAACGTATCTGAGATTGTGATTTATTTGATGAGGCATTTCTAATTCATGTTTTTCCACCCCCAAAAATCTGTTTTATGGCTGTTATTTAGAGTGGGGATCCCGTGCCATTTTTAATGCATGCAGTTACAGCCCTGCTCGGGGTATGGAATAAACAACCACCTCATGAGCTTTCCCAACACTCTCCGTGCCATAGGATCTGCACTTCCAAGATGTTGATGAGTTTATCCTCACAGTTCCAGGGAAGAAACTCCACCATAGGTGGGGAATGAAATAGGAAATTGCAATTTACATTTTTCGGAGGTGGCTGCTTGCTCTGGGTGACCCTGAATGAGCTGGCAGCTCCTCCCGCTGCCGTGTCGGGATCCTGCTGTTCCAGAGGCACGAGGCAGGAATCCGGCTGCTCCCAGATGGCAGAGCCCAGGCTGCTGCTGACGTCCGAGGTGGGAATAGAGCTTGATTTTGGGACTTTGTGGCAGAGCTGGTTTCAGACCCTCCTGCCTGGTTCATCACTGGGGCTTTGCCAAGCCCAGCCTTTTCCCGGTGCCATCCAAGACTCTCCCAACACTTTGGCACAGCTGGAGAGGATGGATGGAGCCGTTGCTTCCCAGGTCTGGCTGCTGGGCTCAATAAAACCCCACCAGGACAGGTTTTCCTTTGTTTCAGGAAAGATTTAGAGGGATGCATTGCAAAGGCAGAAGGAGCAGCTTGTCTTACCCATGTGTTACACGGCCATCAAATCCCAGCCCATGATTTCTGCCATGAGCATCCCTTTGGGAATTTCCCACTCTGTGTGTGAGAGCCCAGGTGAGCCCTCCCTGTGGAAGGTGCTCTCTGCCCCCAGTTCCACCAGTCTACACCAGTCTGCTTTAGCTCCTCCCTTTTCTTCCCACTCTGAGTCTCACAACACTAGAATTCCCTCTCCTGGTGCGTACTCGGAGATCCCATTCAGGCAACTCAACATTTAAAGATCTCTTTGAAAGAAAACTGAGTCAAGTCCCTCCCTGTGAGCAGAGCCAAGGCAAGAGATTTTGGCAGCTGGGTCTCTCTTCCTCTCCTCCTACCCTTCCTTGCGCTCCTCCCAGCCATTGCCATCTGCTCCTGCCACCACCACAGACCTGCAGCCTCATTCCTGGGCAGCAGCAACATCTGGCACATCTTGGATGTGTGTGGTGCTTTTTGGCAACCCGTGCAGAGGCAGTCTGGGGAGAAGTTTCCTTCCTCCACTTTGCTAATTTCTGATTATAGTTCATGCCTTCCATTCCTTCAGCTCATTTTCCTCTCTGCGTGGTCTCCAATTTGCCCACAGGCTTTTGGTGGGGTGGATGTGCCCAGGTGATGTCCCACAGCCCCCCAGCAGCACTTGGTGACATCCACAGCAGCTGCAGGTGCAGGGAGGATGTGTCTGGGAGTGTTTGTGTTCACAGTGTGACCATGGCATGGAAACATGGCTGCACCTGGCTGTGTGAGCACCCTGCAGTGCCACGGGATCATGGAATGGTTTGGCTTGGAAATGACCTTACAAACCATCTAGTCCCACCCCCTGCCATGGGCAAGGACACCTTTCCCTATCCCAGGGTGCTCCAGCCTGGCCTTGGGCACTGCCAGGGATCCAGGGGCAGCCCCAGCTGCTCTGGGCACCCTGTGCCAGGGCCTGCCCACCCTGCCAGGGAACAATTCCTGCCCAAGATCCCATCCAACTCTGCCATTCCCTGTGTCCTGTCCCTCCATCCC